AACTGAGATTTATCATAAAAAATCATGCGCACATTGCGAACTTTCGTCAAGCGCTCCTTTTTGTGTAAAATCAGACGGTCAGTCTACAGTTATTCGCATGCAGTTTTAGTGTATGTTTTTTTTTTTTGTTGTTTCCCCCTGATTTTGTTTGGCTTAAAAGTTTGCCTTTCTTTTATGCTGAGTATTTTCGCTTTTGTTTTTGCCATGCTTCGTTGATTGCCACTTTAAATAACAACACAAACACCTCCAACAATAGCAAAAGTAATACTCGTAAAATAAAAACGAACGTGACGACCAGCACCACCATCAGCACTCTTTCGTATTTTCAACCAACAGACATTGCTCGTTGAGTTTTATTTTGTTTTGTTTTTTTTTACAGCAGTCATTATAAATACATACATTTGAGAAAACAATAAAAAAAAAATAATAAAACTAAACAAAAACCTACCAACATATGTATCTCTTACACCACCGCCCCCCCTCGCCGCTTTGGAGTTATTATTATGTTACTTTTGCTTTATTTTGCACACTTTCTCACACTTAACCGTCGCGCAACTCATTCACTCACTCAATTTTCTGCTTTTATTTCACCTCTTTCGCACACGAATCGCAACACACACCGACGCTATCGCCGATTTCCACTGCGACTCCAATTGCTGCTCTCGCCGCTCGATTTTTCGGTGTTGTTGGCTCACTTTGACTGGCTTTGCGTTGCGTTGTTGGATTGTTGTTGACTTGACTCGACTTGGCTTGGTTGACTGGCTGGCTGGTTGGCTCGCTGACTAACTAACCGACTGGCTTTGGCGTGTGTAGGAAGCATCTGATCCGTACCACCACCAAGTGAAAGCGATGGAAACCATTTTCATAAAAGAAGTTCAAACGAACGGACCTGCTCACTACGCCAACCTGCAGACGGGCGATCGCGTTCTAATGGTGAACAACACACCCATCGCCGGGCTTGCATACAGTACAATCGTGTCGATGATCAAGCAAACGCCTTCAGTGTTGACGTTGCATGTAGTGCCCAAGGAGTGCGATGTACTGCAGATGGTAAGTTCAACATTGTTTTTTATTTTTCTTTGCTTTTTGTTTTTCTTGCCAATATATTGTATGTTTATGACATATTACTAATAACCATATTCCTGCCCATTTGCACATTTCCGTCTCCGTCGCTGGCATCGCTCACCCCTTCAACCCGCAGCATTATACGAGTATTGCGCACACACCAGAAACTAATCGTCTTGCCACAGCGCCTCGACCCATACCGTCGCCCGTGACTGTGGGCAATGGTAATACAGCTGGCGCATTAATACCAATCACACCAGCTGCTGCAGCGTCGGCGGCTGCATCTGCATCTACATCTACATCTACATCGACAACAAAATCATTTTCACACCAACAGCAGCAATTGATCTCATATCCACAGCTGAGTGGTAATAGTGGCGGTGTAGTTGTTGGCGCCGGTGGAAAGGCTAGTCGTTCGGGCAGTGTTACGAGCTCGGGTAGCAGCAGCTTCCGTCCCACAGCGGTGGGGAGTGGCGAGTTTATCGATATGTCATCGCAGGGAATGCACCAGCACAACAGCGGCCGTTTGCTGATACGAGACGATGGCGGCGGTGGATTTCTGTCGCGGTAAGTGCGCAAATATTTACAAAACATACAAACAAACACGTG